CGGTTTCACACTACGAACGAGATGACCCGAAGCTAGTCTCAGTCATTTTTTACCAACGGTTTCCACCGGTTTCAGAAGCTGAGCGACGCAAATGGTGGCGGTGACCGTCTGTTCTTATGGAGCAGCTCGTTTTGTAGCACCTCCTCGCGTCCCAGGAGCAGCACAGGCGAACCTTTTCGAAATACATGCCCGGTTTGAACTGCTAGAATGGATCTTCTCCTTGAGAGAGACAAACGGTACTAGAGGGTTGAGATCACAGAGGACCCATCTCTCATCCCCACTGAGCAGTCTCCCGGAAACTCCTGGCGAGGGCAGAGAAGGGGATACTGACCAAGGGGTAGCCGGGTGCACAGCGTGCCACGGGCTCAAGGTATGAATGATCCATCAAGCCACTTAGTCAGGGGCTTACACTTGTCAATTCAAATTTGCCGTGACAACTGCCATGATATTTAATATGCTCTTTAATATGGTGGTGAAAATGTCCGATCGACACAAGTTTCCACCCTATTGAATTCCGCCCGAATCCTACTTGCCTACGGGCAGGTAATTCGTTCACTATGACCTTTCGTGTTTATAATTGGTCTTGATCTTTTTAGTCAGCCCACACCTAAAGAGAAAGGTCACATCTAATGAGTTTCAAAGTGAGCTGACCAGCAAGAACCTTCATCACCGCATTTATATCTTACTTGAGTCAAGCATGCTCTGCAACAGCTTGAAGAATTTCTAAGACCGCCCCGCCCACCTCGCCGCACCCTCCATTCACAACAGGTCTACCTCACACTTGTGGACCAGTGACCCCTCGCTAATTTCAGACTACTTTTTCCCGGTGCTTGGAGTGCTCTGGAACCATTTTTCTAATTTTTCAAACTCGGCTCCACCCCCTCGGGGCACGCTCCGCCTACAGCGTTCCGATGTGATCACTTGGGGACCATGATCCACTTTTTTTGCGCTGTCTGTTCGCTTTAAGACCAAACTACGATTTTTCAAACAGGTACCTCAGGTTCAAATGATTGCCTCGCCCACTGTGTCTTCGTCATGGACTTTTCTGCGATCTCTGATCTATTTCGGGAACCGAGTGATCGACCTTTATGGAAAGCACCGCCCATCTCAAGTACAGCCCGCCCATTTCGGGTGTGTCTCCTTCATTTGCTCTGCCAATCCACTGTTAACCTCATTCCACTTTTTCCCGTCCCCGAGGTGCTTTCTAGCCATGTTACAGCTTTTTTCAGTGACAGGAAGCGCCGCTCATCTCAAATACGTCCTGCCCATCTCGGGTGTGTTTCTACTATCTGGTAGATCAGCCCTTTGTTAACTTTGCTGCAGTGTTCCCTCATCTGAGGTTTGCTTTGGGACAGAGTTATGAATTTTTTCAGTGACCTCGCTAACTTCCGACGCACGCCCCGCCCACTGGGGCGGGGCTTACCACGGGTCATGGGTGCTATTTATTCTGTCCCATGCTCTACCCTTCTCCACCATGACCCGACCCTTCCAAGCTCTTCTTCAGGTGCTATGAATTTTGTGACAAACGGACAGACACACACACACACACACCACACACACAACACACACACACACACACACACACACACACACACAATCACACACACACACACACTACACGTCGGACATAGCCATATACATGGGACGGGGGCAAAAAAGTCACTTTTCTTCATTGACGTTCAACGCGCTATAAGTTACACTTTATTAAGTTCTGATCGGACATTTTTATCACCATATTAAAGAGCATATCAAATATCATGGCAGTTGTCATGGCGAGTTATCATGGCACTCCGCCACAGCCTTCTGGACGAGCGCCATCGAGAGATTCTGGCACGCAACCGCGATGTGGTGCCTGAGATCAGCGAGATAGTGGATTTCTCCGCCACCGTAGACCACCCTATTGAACTCCACTCAAACCGATTAGTTGAGGAGATTCAGGACTGGTGACCTACTTGGATATTCCATCTTCTTTAGGTGCTCAGCCCCCTTCCATTTCAAGTAGGCAAGTGTTTCCCCAACGCCCTTCGATTTCATGTGGTAGCAACAATGCTGTAGCAGTACAGAGTTTCCAAGAAGGTACGTGGGAGGAGGATATTCTTCACGAGTTGCTCGATGTAATCGCCAGCGCTCACCTTCAGTCCGGGGTCCACGAAAAAATGTTGGTCTTTCCATTCCAGGTATGTCCGGTCCATACCATCAACCCGCGCCTTGGCCACTGTGGTGAAGATGAGTCCTAGACCGTGGCATGTTGTCGGAGCTGTTGGAGGTCATCCAGATCGAGAGTACTGGTCTTCAGGTGGTATCCATGGGTGGTTCCACACTAGAAGTTTCGCAGCTGTTTGGAGGTGACAGAATTCCAAAGGTCTTCATTGCATTACACTGACATTACATTACATTACATTACGTTGAGCAACTCGTGAAGAATATCCTCCTCACATGTCGTCGCCCGTACCTTGGTAACTTTGTACTGCTGCAGCATTGGGTGTCACCACATGGAATCCTAGGGAGTTGGAAAAACTCTCGCCTACTTGGAATGGGAGGGCGTTGAGTATCTAAAGGAGATGGAATATCCAAGTAGGTCACCTGACCTATTCTCCCTCACCCGACTCGGGCGGAATTTAATAGGGTGGTCTGTAGTGGCGGAAAAATCGACTATCTCGCTGATCTCAGGCGCCACATCGCGATCGCGTGCCAGAATCTCTCTATGGCGCTCCTCCAGAAGGCTGTGGCGGAGTGTCATGATAGTATTTAATATGCTCTTTAAAGGGTGATGGAAATGTCCGATCAGAATTTGATGAAGTGTGACTTTAACGCCTTGAACATCAGTGCAGATTTTTTTACTGGCTCCCTCTGTATAGTAGGATGGCAATGGACTCTTGCACTCTGGCTTTGAAGCAGCTCTATACGCACTGTCAGCGTATATCGCTGCTCCTCGACAATCAGGATTAACAAACCGATGGCACCACATAATTACGAGAAGGCCACTATCCCAGGTTCCGGGTAACCATCTTATTAATCAGGCTGGGACACAAACAATACTGAAATCTGGGTCCAATCCGTTTATTGGCCCGACCTACAGCCGTGCAATTCCACCTGTTTTGGTCACTCGAAGGTACCGTCCAACGGCAAATGCTACGACTTTTGTCATTCGCAAAAATTTACATCAAGAGCAATTTACCAAACGCTTCCTGGGTTCTGGGAGCAGATCGTTGATGGAAGGGGATCTGCTAAAATTAAAGCCGAAGCATTACTTTTTTCTATGTTTTCTTCTTCGTTCTATTAGAATAAACTGAAACAAACCTGAACTGCCACGGTCCACTCCTAGGTATTCGATGTTATCTTTTTCAATTCATAAGGTGCTAAGAATGCACAGACGAGTGCTTAATGACATAGTGTTCTGTTTCAAGATATTGAAAGGAGAGCTAAGGTTGAAACCCAGTAAGTACTGGGTGGTCGGGCCGACAAATGGTCGCACCTCCTCGTTGTCCTTGTAATGTCCTAAATTGTGCAGTAGCCACCGAACCAGGATTTCTCATTTTTTTTCTTCCGTGGAGCGAGATATCTCAAATCACTTCCATCAGACCTGCTGAAGGCGCCTACCACCTATATGTTTGGAGAAAAACTAAAGAAGGTTGACCTAATAGCCTTGCTATGCATTCAGAGTTCCTGAAACTTGCAATTTAGTAAACTCTCTTCTCGGTTGTATTTGTGTTACCGAATTTTATGTTTTTTTCTAGTGACCATATTGTTGTTCGTTCTATAACTCGAAGCTTATCGTTGCATTGTTAGCTCGCCTATGCGTGCATGTTCACCCAAATATACATATATAATGTTTTGTTTGTTTGTTTGTTTTGTTTGAGTTGTTCTTGTAAGTTTGTAAGTTGTTTTAAGTTTGTTTGTCTGTCCGGAAATTCGGTTCGACCTGAAGAACGACTTGGAGAGGTCGGGTCAAGGTGGGGATGGGTAGGGCATGGGTCAAGAAATAAAAAACACACTTGACCTATGGTAAGCCCCGCCCCTAGTGGGCAGGGCACCCGCTGAAAGTTTGGGCTTCCGCTGATTGATAATTCGCTTCCGGAGCAGCTTAAAGATGGTGAAAAAAGGGAATAAGGTTAGTGAGGAGTCGCCAGACTAACTGTGGCAGACACATCCAAAATGGGCGGGGCGTACTCAAGGTGGGTGGTGCTTCTCGCAAAATTTAGTAACCCGGTTCGCGAGAGTGTTTGTAAGTCGCAAAAAACTCAGTGTAGAATGTAAATATCTGGCGAATATAGGGCACGCTCAAAGTGTGTTGACCCACCCACAGTGGGGGAGCTTGCCCTAAATCGCAGGGTATTCATTTTAAAAGTTTATAGCTCGGTTCCAGAACACTCCAGACACCGGAAAAAGTGGACTAAGCAGCAGAGGATCGCCGCTGAGGATTGTGGGGCAAAAGCATTGTGGGCCGGGCCAGCCCGAGGTGGGCGGGGCCAGACGAAAATTCTCTAAAACTGTCTCAGAGCACTTCAAAGAATGGAAAAAACGTGGATTGAGGTGACCAGGGGGTCGCCGGTGAAGATTGTGGGGCACAAAAATTGTGGGCGGGGTCTGCTCTGAGGTGGGCGGAGTCAGACGAAAAATCTGTTACATAGTTTCAGAGCACTCCAGACACCGGAGAAAGCGGAGTACAGAACAAAATGCGGATATCAGTTGAGTCTAGAAATATGTGAAAGAAAAAACGCGCGGCGAAGCCGCGCCCGCCCCACTCAGCCGGGCCGTATCTAAAGGAGGAGCGCCGGCATTAGCCGGCGAGCTGACTGGTAAATAAATAAAGCCTTACAGGTTTTTGGATGAGATGGCCTAATAGGAGATTCGCAGCACAAGCAAATTCTGAAATGCCTTCTAGCGTAATTCTTGCTCAGTGCTTTTGTCGAACACGTTTCTCCTATTGAAATGTACCGAGTGCCACCTCTAAACCATTTCAAAGAGTTCGGGTGCGTTGAACATGTACATTTTACAGGTCCACTGCATCAGCACTCCCTGAGGAGCGAACTAGTGTGAATCTCTCTCAACAATACAATGTCGTATCCACGCAGTCAACTGCGAAACCTGGGTGTGTACTGAAGGTCGGGGAAGTTGTCTGGGCGTTGCAGGTATGTACAGGATGTGGCAGTAAATTGTGTTGCTTGGTATGGTGATACAACTTATTAAGGAAAACTCTCGCCTACTTATGCTGAACGTTTTTCCCGAACATTTATTAACTGGTGGTTCTGATCTGACGTTTGTCGAGCCTTCATCCCATATACAGAGTCTATCAGATCGACAAGATAAACACCTTTCCGAAGACCGTCACTTTGTAGTCGCTGTAGAACGTGAAGGCGACTGTGAATTGTGAGCTTTTGTTCTGGAATGAAGCAGACGCTGTCTATTGAGAATTCGAATAACTGGTAATTTCCCCACTTTTTGTTGAAGAAAACATTTTATAGCTTTCTAATGTTCCTGCTGGTCATTTCCTCGCATAAACAACAGGATCGTTCCACAGGTAAGCTATTCTGTTACTCTCACATTTGACGGGAAACTGATTGCACTTTTTCAAATCCAGTTCTGTGATCAGCTCCTGTTATTGTTTTTGTGAGAGCAAAATCGCAATGATTGACAAAGACAGAACTGGAGGAGAGAAATCCCCTGCTCTCCATTATCCATCATTCCATGCATTTTTCTTTTTTTCTAATTTTCTTCTTTCTTCAACATAAGGGAAGGCTTGTAACTGTGACAATCGCAGAGGACTTTCTCGTTGAGTTCCGAGCAAATCAGCGGAACTACTAGGGTTGATTGGACGCTTAGTGACGTAGTGTCCATCTTCCAACCTCGAAATACATTCACACCACTGACGAAGGCAACTACGTTGGAAGGGCAGGCCGTTAAATAATTTGTTCCACTAAAATTAGCACATTGACGACTGCGTGATTCGCATCCAATGCGCGCTTTGTAGGCCGCGTGGGACCGCCCGAATTGTATACGAATCACGGTGAACAAATCCATATCTTTCACTGTGCATGATTTATTGTTTAGTTTCTCCTATTCATTCTATAGTCCAGTCTTTAGTATACTCGTGCAGCGCGTGGTCCTTGAAATAGTTCAGTACAATAGTTTAGCAAAGACCTTTTGGGGAAACATCATCCTTTGCTTGGATTGTTTTGCTCTTTCACTCTGGAATGGTTTGCTGATTAACTTTCTGTCAACAAATACAGACATTTACAATATTGATAATGATGAAAAAATATTAGGTTAAGGATTCTGATCCGTATAGAAAGCACGATTTGCGTTTTTTTACGAATTGTGATTACAGAATATTTCCTGGCCCTGGTGCAAAGAGAGTTGGCCAGCCCAGATTTTTCCGTGGTAACTAATTGACTTACTTCTCAACTGCTCTAAAAACCAGATTTTTCGATTTAATCTCCTAAAAAAGCGCTTCGTGAGACGGCTTGAAATGTGTGCATGCCGCGCTTGTGCCGTTCAAGAAAGCGCGCCGGTCCCACGTGGCCGATAAGTAAAAACCCGCGCGGTCGTCAACGTGTTAATAATTAAATAGTATAATTTAAGTATACAATGAGGAGAGTCTTCGTGATTGAAAAGGGTGCCGCTCACTGCGTTCAAGCACCAATGTTGCACTTTGTTTGCAACATTGAGGCAACATACCAAAAGCAAATTGCGCAAGCGAGAAAACAATTACGCACAAAAGCCTTTTCGCTGCATTTATATGACTGGTATTGTAGGTATCGCCCTTTTAGCTGCACATGCAGTGATGGCAAAGGCACAGAAGCCGCTCATCCTTTTGTGGACCGAATTTGCCGGGCGGGTAACTTCGCTGCACCCTCTTTCGTTGTGTTGGAATACACCGTCAATGACTGGCATATTTCTCATCTGTACATTTTCAGCGCCTTTTTTGATAGCACGATTTGTTACTTTCAACGCTAGTACCACTCATGTGATCGTGGTAGAGAGCATTGATCAAGTGCACAGATGAGAGATGCCGGACATGAGCCGTGTTGAAAGCAGGAATGCGTGACCAAGCCGTGCCCCATGATCCCATTCCACAGAATGACCTGCGTCAACGTCAGGCGGCGATCCGGCTGGCATCATATCTTTCTGTGGCAGTCTGAGGGTGAGTGAATCTAAGCGAGCGTGTGATGGGGGTCATTGGTGAAATACATTCTCTGTCATGAACTCACGAGTTTTGTTTGCCCACAACGATGCACACTCATCCCACTACGAGTATGGTTTCCCTTCCCACACCTTGCTCATTTTTACTCACCTTTTATCGGTCTCCAGGATGTTATGAGCAGAACTCAAATTTTCGACTTCGACCCCGCCCACCTTGGTGGAAGTCTCGCCCATAGCATATATGTTTCCCTCTTCCCATCCGCTGACCCCTTGCTAATTTCAGTCCACTTTTTCCCATTCTTCGGGTTGTTCTGGAACCCACACCTGAACTTTCAAACAAATTCCTGATTCCTTCCTGACTGCCCTAAACTGGCGCCTTGTGGCGCCACGTGGCGTCACCTCCGAAGATACTTATAATGAGAAACCTCACCAGCCTCCAGATGCGTATTTATACGGATCCTCCTCCTCCTCCTGACCACTATCACCCATCTCGAGAGCAGCAAGCAGCTGCTCTCGAGATGGGCGGTGCTTGCTGCGAAATTTCGTGGTTTGGATCTGAATGAGCTTACAGATCAGGAAAAATTTTGGAAAAGAGAATCCTATTGCGAGAGTTGAGTGTCTGTTGTGTTGAGTCCTTTGGGTGTTCTCAAGCGAGAGGTACCTAGTTTCGCTGCGTTTTAGTTCGTAGGCCGTCATATTCCTAACACGTTCCGGACTGACGCCCATTTTGCGTGGCTTTCACGTGTGACCGTGGCCTTTTTCGATGCAAAGATGGTGGGCACACCATCTTCGCATCGAAAAAGGCCGTGTCAGCGGTCACATGGGGAAGGTCAGTCGCGGTTTCTTCCTTAATGACTGTTCCACTCTGAAAATTTGTACGTGGGGGTTGTTTCACATCCCAATCACGAATATGACATTCATTTTTGGCCCGGCCATTTGACACCACCGGACGCCAGTTTGGCCACAAGGCGACACAGCGCAGCCAGCAAGAGGAGAAAGCCGTACCCCTAAACTGGCACATTGTGGCGCAACGTGGCGTCATCTCCGAAGATACTTATTGGGGTGTCCGGAAATTTTTGAGAAAATTCGGTCATTTTATTCAACACATATTAACAACAACAAAAGCGAAAAATCAGTAATCAAGATAGTGGCCCTTCTTAGCCACGACGTCTCTCCACCGTTTGGGCAGGGCATCGATACCTTCCTTCCAAAAGGAAGCAGACCGGGATGCAATCCATTCATCGACCATACGCCTGACATCCTGATGGTTGTTGAACATCTTGCCCGTAGCGTAAGCCTGGAGACTCCTGAAAGCATGGTAATCACAAGGGCTAAGGTCAGGTGAATACGGAGGATGGGGAAGCCATTCGATTCCTAAATTCTCCAGCTCGTCCCTTGTCGCCTTCGCATGATGTGGTCGGGCGTTGTCCATGACGATGTGAAACTTGCCCGATGTTATTGATGGGAAAAACTCGGACTCGAGACACCAGCTCTCGTAGTTGCTCACAGAATATCGATGATGTTGCAGTAGTACCCTCATGAAGAATCTCGTAGTAAATACAGCCGGTGGAGCAGGAGAAAAACGAGAGCAAGTCCTTCTTGGCACGGCAGCCACTCCAGTTTCCTATCCGGGTTTTCGTACGAGATCCACTTTTCATGCTGAGCAATTATGAAGCTCGCCCAAGTCGTCGTCCTTTCTCGATCGAGGAGCTTCTGACACACATCGACCCTCACCGCACGCTCTCTTGCGGTAGGAGACCGCAGAATGATTCCCGGCAAAGCCGCGCGGAAGCCGTTCCTTTTCAGAATGCCATGAATAGTGGATCGAGGAGTGGAAGTCGTCCTCTCCAACTCCCTTAGACTTTGGGCAGGATTGGCCCTCACAGAAGCCAGCACGATGTCAGTGTTGGGAGAGGGAGGGTCCGCATCGAGGTGCTTCATCGAGGCTAAACTCTCCTACTGCGAAGCGATCGTACCACTTGTAGCAGGTTGCAAGAGAGGGTGCATTGCCACCCATCGACGACAGTAATTCGTTCCTCGCTTGAGTGGCGGAGCAGCCGGAACGGTACAGGTGAAGTAGGATACATCGAGTGTCGTGTCTGTCGCACATTCGATTGGTGACAACAAAGGCCACTGACGAAATGTAATATCGATCAGCGGCTGGTTTCATCTACAGATCATCCTCTATCTTCCCGTGTTTTGATCTACACATTTGCTAATGGCTTTCGCGCGCTACGCTTTTTCAAAGTTAGGCGGCAAAATTTTCTCAAAACTTTCCGGACACCCTAATATAATGAGAAACTGGCTGGCCTCCAAATGCATATTTATACGGATTTCGGTGAAAAATGTCGTACTGCCAAACTGGAGAACGGCGGCAAATAGCGTCAGCTTCAAGGTGTCACTTTTGTGACCAGAATCCTTGATCACCCCTCAAACGCATGTTTTTCAATCTGAATTAGGTGAAAAGGCCGAGGCGCCAAACTGACGTCGCGTGGCGCCAAATGCAGCGGATGCTGCAAAATTGTGTCATAATCGCGATCAGGACACCGAATGGCCTCAGTAGATTAGTCTCCCAGCAAATTGTTCTAATTGCAATGCATTTCTAGAGCACGAGGGCTTAATGAATTGGCTACATTCCAGAAAAATGTTTTACAGATAAACTACCGGAGCTTTTCATGGCCCCACCATACGCAGGAATTTGTACCCCTACAAGATTACATAACAACTCATAAAATTTGCGCAACAATCAAAATACTAGCTTCTAAGGACCGTGACTCACCACGTGTGTCACGCGGCCAGAGGGAGCAGACACATGTGACACACCATGTGTGTCACGCGGTCCGGAATCTGTTGAACACCTGTCGTCACAGATACATTTGATTCCAGTCGGTTCGCTGGCTGACGCTTGCGCGACTCTTTGAAACGCCAGGCTTTGCCGCTTCAGCTTGGCTTTGGCTACTTGCTTTCGTATGTTCGAATGCTCAAGTGATAGCCAGCTTTTCTCTCATCCGCGCACTTAATCAACACTGCTTACCACCATTTCATAGAAGGTAACAGTGTTGAAAGTAGCAGGTATGAGTTATTGGTCAAGGAGTGTTGACAATGTGTACAGGTGAAAGAAAAGCCGGATAGTTGTTGAGTATCTCAACATGAATAAGAAGGTGCTCGCGACGAACGCGTGCTTTCCCTGCAAGCCTGGCCGTATAACAGAAGGAGGCACGTCGGCGTCAGCCGGCGAGCCGCTGGTAACACATAATAAACAACATTATTAGGAAGTGCTCGGATTGTGTTTATTCCCAGCTTTTGGAAAATGCTGCATGACACACGTAACCTTCGTGCATCCTACATGGACGTCTGGTAGTGATCGAGAGTGAATCAACACGAGCAGGAGAAGAGTGACCCCTTGTGGTAGAGACAAAGAAATCGTCCCCGTATGAGGATCTACTGCGGCACCTGTTGCACACAGTGGAGTCTGAGTGAGGGGAGTGCAGCCCTGGCAACAGTCGCTCGGTATTGATCGTATGCAGCAAGTTCTATGGATTTCGCGTCATAGGATGCGCTGATTTCGGAAGGTTCATAATTTTGGAAGTTACGACACTGCAGTTTTTCAGAATGTTGTAATTTTACGCAAACCTCAGAATACTGAAAGCTCGAAAATGCGAAAGAAGTGTACCGGGCTGCTCACAAGAGAAGACAAGAACTCTCCGGAAAAATTCGGTGCATCCAAATTGATACAGCGTGATGCCATTTCGCGCATGGGTCGAATTAGCAAAACTTCGCTTTGCAGCATTAGGTACATTAAATTAGCCCTCTTCTACATAAGAGCTGTGTGCAGCACTCCGTCCTTGATATACTCAGCCCTAGCACTGTTCCGTTTGGTGTAATGTTAGCAATAGTATGCTCAGTGCTTCACTCCCTACATCTTGTTCAATTCAGCGATCCATTCAGTTTAATCGCGATCGAATCAGGCGCACGACGCACTCGAAAGCATGCGCGACCGACGCAGTTGGAAGCATCTGCAATCGACACAGTCAAACCCTTTCGAGATCAACGTAGAAAACTTGAGCAATCGATTGCCCAACGCGTGACCGCAACGCTGCCGCTATGAAATCAAAACGCACATAACCCCATTCAGGAAATCGTTCTCAATTCAAAGGCAGATATGGGACTAGCTTCGAAAAACACCTTCAGTGATTTATGTCTCATCGCAAATGGCCACTTCGACCTGGAGACCATCCCTAGTCAGCTTACTTGTTTGTCTGCTTGTCTGTTCAGAAATGTCTCAACCTGGAAAGCAAATTGGAGAGGTCGGATCAGGGTGCAGATGGGTATGGCATTGGGCAAGATGTACAAAGCACACATGACCCTAGGCTAGGCCCCGCTCACTATTAGCGCGCACGAACTTGTAGGGCACTATGGCCGAAAGTGAACGGTGTCGCAGACAAAAACATTACTTCGGTTCCAGAGCAGCCTAAAGATGTTGGAAAAGTGAAAGAGGCTCAGCAAGCCGGTTGGCAAAAAAGAGAGGGAGACACTGAGGACAGGTCTCAACCCTACAGACACGCCCAACCCTCTCCGGATATTGCTCTTCTCCTTGAACTTCCTTGCGATCTCCAAACCCTCTCATAGACCGAGTTGCGGTTTAATGGCCCATCTCGGGAACATTAATTGGCCCGCTCCGAGCTGTTTCGCGCTAAACCATTGTGGGTTCGTTTACAGACGAACTCACGTGCCTCACTTTTCTTACTCACATTTCTAGCCAAATCTGAGTAACTTCGAAACGTGAGGCACGTGAGTTCGTCTGGAAACGAACTCCCGTTGGCAAGGTGGCCCTGGAAGCACTGGCTTCCAGATAGTGGCAGCCAGTGGTTCCAGGGCCACCTTGCCAACGGGAACTCGTTTGCAAACGAAATCTGGCCTTGGTGAAGAAAAACTAGAGCAGCAACAGATTGAATGGCCAAAAAAGGAAGGATGAGGCATTGGACAGATGAGTGTATCTGTAACTGAACATGTGTGTGAGTATGAATGGGACTGCACCCTATGGGTGTTCTGCCCTGCCTTGATTACCAGATTTGGCTACGGACTTGTACGTAGTGGTAGTTTAGCCCCCTTAATACGGATATGACAATCTTCTAGCGCGGGGGCGCCTTTGGCGTGCGCCACTAACACCTGTACACCCTAACTTTAGATCACAATTCGTCGAAGTAATTGAACGGTAATTGGACTCCTTTTCAGGCAAGTCTACGTGGGCACTGTTATAGTGTTGACGTTGCTAACACTTTTTTTCGTCACGATAGGAAGGGAAAAATGAGCCTAGCAGGGATCCGATCCCATGCCCTGTTTTGTATCAGAGCGGAGGAAAACTCCATAACCGTTCACAGAATCACTTTGCAGTTTTTGCAGGCAGGTTTGCGAAGCGTCTAAAAACACGTGCCGTGATCGGTGTAACGGTCCGCGATCAGGTATCGAAGTTGAAAATATGGTGTGGGAGGGATATGGTGCGGTCTGCGACGAACAACCCTGTACCGTTTTCGCGGAGAAGAAGTGCAGGGGAGGGGCGCTATAAGGCAGAATAGATCCAGTGGTTCCTCCTTTTTTCCAGTGACCCCCCTCCCAAGCGCCGCCCTTTAGTGAGAAACCAAGTTTTCGGACGAGAAAAGCATGAACATTTGAGCCCCTTCGTTATTTGTGCGGAAGTAGGGTTGCATTGGGTCAGCTGAGTGCACAAAGGGGTACAACTGGAAATATATTCCAGAAAGTATGTATTGCAAAGTGCACGAAAAGTTGGAGGAAAATAGCATCATTTTGAATTTGAAAAGCAAAACAAACTCAAAAACAACAAAGAAACATTATGATGCGATGAGTTCACTGAAAAAATAAGAATACTAAAGGTCAGTCTTTCATACGTGGTGCCACACCTACTTCTAGCAGCGAGCCAATAACGTGGAACGCTCGTCCATAAGCGCTGTTTCCCCATTGCATGCACGTACAAACCAGGATTGTAATGGGGTCCTATTTAGGACATTGGGCATATTTTTTCTGCTTTTTCTTCACTGTTGAGTTACTCTGAACCTTGTCCACTTTATGCGAAGCCCAAATTCACTATCTAAGATGGCAACTGATCGCTTTGCCTTTAAATGGCCACTTCGACCTTCCGAGCATCCCCAGTGGGCAAATTATTATATAAGCAAATCAGTGCGTAATATATAATGGGGGATATGATAAGTTTCTTTTCCTTTGATAGAGATCGCTGCCTTTCCTCCAGAACTAACGATGATAGTTATTAATGTGATTGTTTTCAATATGGCTTCGATTCTACGAACTTCTAGACGAGGATCGTTTTCAATCTATGGATCATATCACACCCCAAGAGGAAACTTTGTCGTTCACTAGCGAGGAAGTGTGCAGGCAGCGTGTTCCTTTACCCAAGGATGTTCATGTTGGGTTCATTTCATATAATCGTTTTCTTTCGAGGCATGCTCAGAAATAACTATTGGGGGTTATTTGGTTTCTTTAAGATAGTAACTGCAGCTCCTGCCGCTGGGCATCTGTCGTCATCATCTTTACATCCCGTGTGTCAAACTCCTTACTTGTTGCTTACAAGTTGTGACGGTTCGTTTCTCTTCCTATTATCATTGATTTTGTACTGCATTTTTGGATCACTTAATTTTGTAGCTTTTAATGGAATTTTATTTCACAGCAACCTGTGATTACTCTTTTCAGATGAGAAAATACGTTTTTGGAGATGTACTCAATCCATACAAGGTCCGTATTCCAAACAGAAATACGAATGGGCAGAATGGAATATGATTAACGATAATCGTCCAAGTGATTTGGAACTTCAAGGCAGGTTTCATGTTAATTTAGAAATGTAATGTAATTTGTGCTTTGCAGGAACCATATTTGCTGTTGCTGCGGCCCGTAGCGGTCGAATAGCTTGCGCATATGACCCCGCGAGAGGATGCCTTGAAACGTGGAACACCTCTGTTGTGAGATTTTTTTTTCATTCATCAAGTCAATAAGATGTCGTGTTTGTTACGCCTGGTAGTTGAAGCGCAATTCCAGAGTCATCTTACGAGGGAAAGGCAAAAGGTCAATGTGGCCGTACACATTGTCTCATATTGCATGCAGAATTGCGTAGAGTTCAATTCTGCCTTTTGCAAGAAGAGTTGGAGGAACAGCGCTTGTGCAAGGCTGGAGGTGTAGTGGATGCGTACGTTGCCACATGGGCGAGAGGTCACGGGTTTGGATCCTTGGGGCGGTTGCGTTTCTGCTTTTTCGAGACTTCTTGCATGAACTGGGAAGGTATCCCACTAAATGAACACCTCGGAGAGCCCCAGAAAAAACAGGCCCGAAACCCTGGATTGTTGTCTTCCAAGGGACAGTTACAGTCAGCTAACTTTGTTGATCGAGCAGGCATGAGTCATGTTCTGAGCAAGATGCGCATTCTGTAATGGACAGGATTCTGCGTTATCTCTAAAATTGCTCCAGTCAACGTTTCTCATCGATAAGTGTTGTGGGAAGACTAGTGGCGCGCATAGGCCACAAAGATGGAGTTCATTTTTGCTAAATGTTATTAGGAATGTCAAAAAAGAGTGAAAAAATTCGACAGCAGAGGACGATTCTAACCACTTTATTTAGCTCAGTTCTAGCTGTAGCGTTGAGGGTGTTTAGCTTATTACGTATTCTTTGAATGGTGGCTATCTAGCGCATGCTGCTCCCAGGTGGCCTCGGCGCCGAAAATAAGCGTCAGAATCGTGATCAGGAGTATCAACTACCCCAGTATGCGAAGGTTCAGCACAGCAAAAAAAATCTCGAGCTCTTCTGCTGTTAATGGATCGAACATTTGGATGGCAGCGACACCCCAACTCTCACATCTCCGTAGCCGTCTAGGTCAAAAGTGAGACCAACCGTCATAAATTTCCATTCGGAAATTCAGTACGTTTCTAGAAAACCATGTTAGCTGAACGAACATCCTGACTCTTTCAACTTTTACCGTCTGGGCTTTTATCAGACCATTTTTATTAGACCGCGTTTATCCCTGTGCCGGGAAGAAAATGGAACTGTTCTTGTCTGACTTTTCAGACGTAAGCGGTATGTGTCCTTCCTTTTTCAAAATCTTTAGTTTTTAGTCATGAATTTGTGTACATGGACCAGTAACTGTCTCTTTCTCTCTGTATGTGTGTGTTTGTTTGTTTATTCGTTTGTTTGTCTGACCGCTTGTCCGAAATAGGAACTCTGTGAAAAATTGCTCTGAGGGGTCAGTTCAATTATGGGATGGATGAGGCATAGGCGAAAATGTGCGGTGCACCCATAAACAAAATGGAGATCGCCGAATTGAGGGGCGCTAACGAAAAAAGTTCATAATTCGGTTGCAGAACGGAAAGAGACCGGAAAAAAAATGGAGAAGGTCAGCAACGAGTTAATAGATCAATTGTCGAGCATGCAATGGGCAATGCTTGCAACAAAAATCCATAACTGGTTCAGAGACAATTCAAAGACCGGAGAATAACTGGTGGAGGAGGATACATATTCATCAAGCTAAGCGTGCCAAAGGAGTGCGCAGACCTGCCCTCAGTGTATGGAGCATGTCTTTCAGCGAGCGATATTCGAGTTTTTACTCATAATTCGACTGCGCCCAGCTTCTTTCTTCGTAAAACCTCAGCATTGTTGTTATATGAGGTATCTTCAGTATGTGTGCCGAAGACCATGTTTGAAGGAATATCTTCAACGGCCTTCAGTTCCTACTAGATCGTCTCTATCAGAAGCCCATGTATCACTGCAGGTGTGTAATATCGCTGCTCTACTGGTAACTACTAACTCCTAAATATCTACTGAGAGAGTGGCGGCCTCCCGCCATTGCGGGGTTGTACTGGACCCCTGATGAGGACGACCTAGTCGAAGTGAGGACCTTCATAAAATCCACTATAAATTCTACCCAACAGCCCCGTCGGCGCACCAGAAAATATCTAACTCAGTAATTTGATTTTTGATAGAAAATGAGTGAACGATAGTGATGGGTTGGCGTTCGAAGAGGAAGGCGCACGAGCAGTGGAAGCGGTTTAAATCATAAGTTTGCAACGATCTAGGCAGATGCATATTTCCCGCTCCAATATACCTTCTGAAAGTGAATTTCAGTGCCGCTAAGGGCTGCCTACATACAATTGTCGCAACTACCCATTAAAAAAAAAGGGGGGAGGATGGGTTAGAGGTAGAGTGAAGTGATCCGACTGCTACTCGAAATCTTTCGCTACATTTCAAACCAAGCTCGCTAATTTTCAGATCGAATTTACTACACCTTTCGAACGGGACAGCTAATTAACCAGATCGCGCTAGACACCATCGCAAGCTCTGTCTCGACGGCCATGCCTTCTTTTTGGTGTTGTCATGATTCCTCGAATTTTATTTTATAACATTTATTTCTAATTGGAGTGGTTTAAAACACTGACACACATGCGGCTTGACTGTGTTTTTCAGGAAATGCGTTGCAAATTTCGAATTTGTAACTTTTCTCCAGTGTCGCTGTTTCACATCCACTCTTCACAAATATAAACTCACAGACATGCATTCGCACAGTGACACTGAGCCCCGCCACTCTCTCTCCCTAGACCACACCTGCCCCTCCCGCCTCGCAAAATCTCTGCCCACTCTTGAAAAGCCCCTCAAATTAGCGGGTTAGCGGGTTAGAGTCCCAACTAGTATGTCAGGGTCTCCTTCACTTACAAAGAACTTTTCCTGGTTTTTTCGTTCCAAGCGACAAGCGAGACTCTGAACCTTATTTGAGACTCTAGCTTGTTGATTCCATGCACTTTCAAAAATGTGTGGGGCACTTTTGGTGGCGGAGGCAACTCACGCAGCCTAAAAGGCGGAAATAATCAAAATTCGCAAAAAGTCGCATAAGGATGAAGGGGCAGAGATTAACGCATCAATGCGTAAACACGTACCCATCAGAATACTCGGTGTTTGAAGGGTGGGTGCAGAAACAGTAAGATTGAAAAAAAAATTATGACGATTTGAAATTCGCAGCGATTTTTTTTGAAAAGTCGGCGGAGCCATCTATGAATCAGTTTGTCTGCTTCTCAGTTACAGTGTCCGTGCGAGATAGCAAAAGCACAAGAAGTCACAAAAGCGCAAGTTGTAAGATCACCTGTGCATCACCTATGCTGTCGTTGATCATCGAATTCCTGAAGCGGGCGCCAGTGACGTCTCCATTCGTCCCTGCAACATGCTAGAATGGCCAAAGAGTTTTCCGTGCTCGAGGGACACGATGAGGTTGATACCATTTGTTCAGAGCTTCCACGAAGAAGTCTGACCATTGCGGAGGTGGACGTCCAGGTGTTCTGTTGAAATCCCCGGCATCCAGTCGGCAGTCGCTCTGGTTAACCGGTCGTTTTCAAAACTCATGACGTGCCTGCCCCACCTGATGTTCGGAACCTTTTCAAACGGGCGTCTCTGATCTCCGATTGCCGATGGAGAGCAGAGCTCCGGGTTCACTTTCTCACTTGCGTAAAGCGGAAAACTCCGAGCGTCGCCCTTTCGATGGCGCCTTAAATGACGCCAACCGCGTGCTTATCTTTCCGTAGAGTCCAAGTCTCCGAGACTTAAGTTGAAACAGGAAGGGCCATGGAATTGAAGGGGTGGGCACGGAAGCTGGTGTTCTCCGTCTTCTTCGCTACTCCCTCTATGTTCTCCGTCTTCTTCGCTACTCCCTCTATGTTCTCGAAGGCTCCCAAGCCACTCGCTTTCTCCTGCTCAGCTCTGGTGCTAAGTCGTTCATCATATTCATTCACGACCCAGGTACACATAGCTAGAGCATTCAGTGATGTTCGTTACTTTGAGCGATAATGGAGCATCAGAAACCAGTAAACCGATTTTTCCACGCGCGCAGTCGAAACCAGCCAGCATCAGCTCTGCTTGCTCGATGTTTGATGTTATCAAAACGATGTTGTCGGTAGTGCGGAGAGGGTGTGGCTGCCGGCCGCCGATCTTCACTGCACGTCTTCCCATTCCATTTGGTGCATGAAGATTTCAAGGGAGCAGCTCAAGGGTTTGGGCGAGATGGTGCCGTTCTGTGGAACCCCTCTCTTCACGTCCATGATGGTCTCTCTGTGGAATGGTGAGATCCTGGTAGTAAAGTAGCTGTTCACTGGGTGAGGCTTTCTTCAAGTCGATGACGCAACATAATGGCATCTTGTACTCTTGCGAGAGTTTGATGATCTTCGCTACTGTGTGGATGTGACAGACCACACTGAATCCTTTTCGAAACCCTGCTTGCTCGTATGTCTGCCCTCCAACTAGTGTTCTGCCCATCCTGTCAAGGATGGCTTGTATGAAGAGTTTGTAGACTACACACAAGGCAGGTTGGGCGATAATTGCCAGTGTCGTGCAGGTCTCACTTCTTGTACAGCGGCTTACTCCTGCGGGTTCTTCACGTGGTGGATACCTTGAATTGCGACAAGTAGAGCGTGAATAGTCGAGATAAAGTTTTGACGAGAACTAGCGAAAGATTTTTCAGATGTTCGGGTCTGGTCCTGTCTGGACCGGGTGCGCTTCTTCACCGACGAGATTGCGTATCGGACTTCAGAAGGGAGAACTGCATGAACGACGCATCCACCCTGCTCCAAGCGGTATGGTGGCAGGTGGCCCGTGCGGCCCGTGCGGCTCCACTTGGCGAATTTTCTTGAGAGTCTCCAGAGATGAATGCTTCTCTGTGATCCTGGAATTTCACCAAAAAAAAATCGGTCGATCTCGTTATGGAATCGCCCACCAAGAGACTCCCATGTCCTAGAGTAGGACTTCTAAAACTGCGATTTACCATGGATTACATGTATCGACTTAATGAACTCAGGCAGCTTTACCCTGCTCGTTCCATTGTGTTTCACAAGCTCCGATAAGAACTTCTTCAGCCGTTCTTGTGGGTCCCTTCTTACCGATGAAGTTGCCGACGATATCTCTGAAGAAGGTATGGTCCCCCTGTAGAACTTCCCCAGCTGTACATAAAATGTGATGTTGGTGCGACGAAGATTGTCAAATTCGGAGTTGAACATATCTTCTCAATTGCAAACGTCCGATATGGGTCGCCGGATTTTTGTCCTAATCGATAATGCCAAGTGGATGTTGATGGGGACACCCTCGCTCGGTGAATCCCTGAGCTTCAGAGAAATGAGGCTCATATCCGCTACTGTTTTCGGTAATGGGATTGACCACACATAGCTGTCTCTAAGGTGATACCATTTGTTACCGTGGGAGCCGTTATACGCCGCGTTGAGGGTGCGGAAGCATTGTGGGAGCGAAAATTCTTACCGCGCTAAAGTAGGGGTGGTTGTCGAAGTTGAATCTGGTGGTGTCTAGCGCGATCTGGTAAATAAACACTTCGGAGTAAAAAGTGGGTGAATTTGGCTTGAAAAGTGGTGACATCAAAGTGAAAGTGGTGTATAGAGAACGCAACCGGATTTATTGCGACATCTTTTTATCGATATATCTTTGTTCAGGTGGAAATAGGCGTCTTCGAATGTGAGTCATCCGGTGGTGCTGAGTGGTTGCGTGAAGACACGTTTGCCGTTGAGCATCTCCACACTCCAAATACATATTTGTTAGTTCATGTTGAGGTCTTGCAGTACTGTTATGCAATTTGGTTGCCAATGTGGAATTGGAAGATTCGATCCTATTCCGTTCAGGGTATAGGAGAAACCCATCAGAGGATGTACTCGGCCGCTGGGGGGGGGGGGTCGTAAGTGGAGATTTGGACAGCGTCGATCAGTGCAAAGGTGTTGGCTGAACGCTGTAGAGAACCCAGATGTTTGGATGAACAAAAAAAAATAATTGCCAAGAATACTGTTGGTTAGAATGATTAAATGCTTGGGTGAGTGGAATACAACGCAAGCAAGCTGTGAGCCTCTCCAAACCCTATGAAAACATCTGCTAGCGTGGACAATTTGTTTCCCGTTACTTATCATTCCGCCACCCCTGCATGGGAGCGTAAGGCATAGCGCACCCCCAAACGAGGTGAATAGCTTAGATGCAAATTGTTCCTTCGCTCAATTATCGAGATGTGCGTACTGATTTCCGAATGAGTTTTCTACAGTGACAGAGAAGTTCGTCGAAACCCCATGTAGAAATCTCTCCAAAATGTTTGTGATATTCCCCACAAGAAGGAACTATTGGGCACTCTAGTGTTTTTGATTCTTCAAAGGATTGCGCATTGATGATGTTGTAGTCAGGTGCCTTTCGGTTATCTATCTATCTAGTTATTCATCTTAATTCCGTCGAAAGATATTTCTCAAAGACTGGGGAAGACTCATAGAAAGATTGTTAGTTTTGCAACATTACAAACATGGTGCTTTAACACACTGACGACCGCGTGATACGCATTGAATGCACGCTTTGTAGGCCACGTCGGACCGCGTTGAATACGAATCACGACCAGCAAGTCCATGTCTTTCACTAGTGCATTATTGGTTTAGCTTCTCCTAATCATTCTCCTATTCTATAGTTCAGTCCTCGGTATACTTGTACAACACGTGCTCTACGGAATTATTCAGTACACACTAGTTTAGCAAAGATTTTTGGGTAAAGAACACCATTTGCTTGGACTGGTTTGCTCCTCAACTCTGAATTGGTTTGCTCTCCAACACTACTAACAAATGCAGATGAATGCAAAATTGATAATGTTAAAAAATTATAAGGTGAAGGATTCCGAGTTCTGTAGAAGGCACGACTGTTTTTTATGAAAACGTTGGTTACAGACAAATTTGTGGCACCTAGTGCAACGAGAGTTGGCCAGCCTAGTTTTTTCCATAGTAAATAATTGACGATGGCTTCATAATTGCTCTCTTAACCAGGTTTTCCGATCCAATCTCCAAAAAAAAGCGCCTTATGGGACCGAGTGAACTGTATGCGTACCGCGCTTGTAGCGCTCGAGAAAGCGCGCGTGTCCACGCGGCCGAAAAAGTAAAAACCCGCGCAGTCGTCAACGTGTTAAAAGCTGCTTTCCGTTTCACAGATACTCCGCTTCCGAAAACTTTACTGTTCTCCAAAGAAAGATTGATTGCTGTTAGCTTCTCTCCTCCTTTCAAAAATGAGCTGCTCCAACACCAGTTTGCCCAGCAAATGCGATGCGGTTCTTTTATTTTTGGTCAGCTGCTTTGCAACGCTAGCTCTTTCGAGTGTAGACTGCCTTTCGATTTTCTTTCTATCACTTCTCTGCTTTTTTTCTGTTTCTTATGATATTATTCTTAGGCGAAACGATAGGACGACGGGAGCCGCGGCTAACCACCTACGTCGATTGCGACAAAAGGGTGCCAGTATGCGCTGCACCTTTTCCCCCCTCTCCCCAACCCCAACAATTGTGTGCACATCATTATGGTTATAAATACGACCTATGGAATGATTACTTCTGATGTTTTCCTAAATACACCCTTTTGTTTCACATTCCAAGTTCCAGAGCTGTCATTAGTGACGGAAGCTGCTGTGTTTTATCATCCTTACAGCTAATTTAAGGCTTTTTCTGAGTGTGGTGAAGCCACGGAGAATCCTCCTATTCAGCATTTGTCCCGCTTGGTGGCAGGGTCCGCTCTTCTGATATGGTGACGCCATTTCTCCCGAGCAAATGTTTGGTCGGGTTGGATTCCAGCCACTACGAGTCTGTATCGGTATCGGACCAGCGCTGCTTGGGACGTGTCTTGGGCCGCTTTCCGGGCACCTCAAGTTGAAAATTAGTCTCATAGACGGTTACAGCCTTCGCGCGAAGTACATGGCCATACCATCAAAGGCGCGTTCCCCGCATTTTGTCAGCTGTAGGAGCTATACCGAACTTCGTGCATATTACATCGTTACAAATGCGGTCCAAACGCGTGACACCCGCCATCCAACGCAACAGTCTTATCTCCATCACATTGATACGGGTATCCACTTCTTTGGTCGCGGGCCAGCACTCAGCACCGCATAGGGCGACTGGTTGAACGACCCTTCTGTAGATCTTCAACTTAGAGGGGATTCTCGCGACCACAAGGGGATTCTCGCGACCACACTTCATAGGTGATACAGTTAAAAAATAGAACTGCTGTGTGTTTGTTGACTTATTGAAGGAGAAGGAAGCACGAAGCGTCAAGACCCTACTTATTGCTATTGATCATGATCACCGGACGAGCGTAAGGTGGCCAAGATCAGTTGTGAATTGCAAAAGGCGGCAATACACTGATAAGAGGCGGGAGAGGCCAGAAAATGACGGGCGACAGAGCGCCATGGCAATGTCACAACGACACGGTCACTAGAGGGCGGCATGGGCCTTTCGGGCGCAAATGGGCCTGAAACCTGAGCGCCCTGCGTTCTGCTTGCTATTTTTCAACTTTCAAAAGCAGCATAGCCTCTGACGTTGCCTGTTTGACCATCGTGCACGGTTATGAGGTTCTAGCATTAGTTTATCGCGGAACGTGCCTTTAGGGCACTCTGGCATATTCTGGTCGCGAAGAATCCCAGACATGGATCGCCATTTCGACCACGCTATGCTCCACATGTGTTCACTTCGAAACTGCCTCATCGGACGTAACTGCTGATCCGAGATATCTGAATGTTTTTGTACGGGTGAGCTCAGTGCCATCGATTTTGATGGAGCCCGTCTCGCATGGATTGGTTGTCAAGCATTCGGTCTTTTTGACGTTCAATCTGAGTCCAAACTTCGCCCAGCGGTCAGCCCAAGCTTGCACCTGCCACCTTGCTCTAGCGTACTCTTATCCTCGCATGCAAGCATTACGTCACCAGCGCAAAGGAGAGTCCTCGGAACTTCTTTCTGGAGGTCTTGGCATCCATAACGACAACGAAAAGGATTAGGGAGAGCGTGGAGACGTTACCCCGGCGGTTATGATAAACCCGACGGAGGTGTCTGCAGGTGTCCGGACTTGTTTCTTTGGGTTTGAATAAAGGATGCGCACCCACTCGATTAGCTCTTCGGGGACGCCGTGTTGTCGTAAAGCGTACCATATAGCGTCAAGAGAAACGCGATCGCATGCCTCTTTCAGGTCTAGAAAGGCTACATGCACACGCGTTCGCTTCTCACGATGTTTCTCCAGCAGAAGACGAGCGGCGTGTACAGCGTCGATGGTGCTACAGACGGTCAATAAGCCGCACTATCTGGCAGAAAGTTGGACGATGTGGATACGACCGTCAACAATTCGCTCAAAAAATTCATGCTATGCGAGAGTAGGCGGATTAGACGGTAGTTCAATTGTTGTTTGCTGTTTGCAGTTTGCTGGCCTGCCCTTTTTCTTCCGAATCGGAATCGTCGCGCTCCGCTGCCAGTCCTTCGACACTTTTTAATTTCACAAGTTAGCTGCTAAGTCGTCCGGGCCTGTAGTTTTACCTGCCTTCATGTCCTTCAGAACCGTTTCCGTTTCTTCGACTTTTATCTTCCGAACGGAATCGTATGTAGGCGGAGCAGAGGAGATAGTTGGATGGGTGAACTCCACCGTTGGGATACTCTCAATGTAGTCGCACCATCGCTGCAATGCCGCCAAATAATCTCTCTATATCTTCGCTTTGGCGTTGGCGAGATTTTGCAAGTCGATACAGTCGTCGCGTTTCTCCATTTTTTTCTGCTGGCATCGTCGAAGGGAGCTGCTTCCACTACAGCGACGGCCGTCTTTGCAGCAGTCCTCATTTCTCGGTATTCCCACCAATTGCTAGCTGATTCGTCTCTGATGGTACAAGTGATAAAGCCTGTTCTTCTCGCGGACTGCCGCTTGGACTTCGTCCGTTTGAAGCCAGACCTGCTATCAATTTTGCGCCGTCCGGGCTTCGTTGTGCCGAGTTCGGAGTGGGCGACCTGGATTATCGAATCCACGGCTTCATTCCAGGTTTCCTGGACAGTGGTGACCTTGGATAATCGAATGCTTCTCTCTCTCTTTCTCTTTCTTTTTTTTCTCTTCTCTCTCTTCTCTCTCTCTCTCTCTCTCTCTTCTTCTCTCTCTCTCTCTTGATCCTCTTGATTCTCTCGAGACCGCATCGCTCTATCTGCTTCCATCTGGGAGCTGTGTATTCCAGCGTGCAGAGAGGGTGGTGTTGCATGGCAGCTTCCTCGTGCGGCACTACCTTAGCCTCTGTGACGAGTCCTTGATCGCCATGCCTAATAAGCACAATGTCTATTTCTGTTTCTGTACTCCCGCTGTAGAAGGTGATGAGGTGGGAGTTCACGTCTGTGTTCAGTATGACGAGATTATTTATGCGTGTCTGCATATTCAAAAACCCGCTCACCGTCGGCGTTTCTTTATCCGTTGCGAATCCACCATGACAAACGTAGCCGTCTTTCGCAGCGTCCACGTGTCCATTCAAGTCGCCAGCGCCAACAATACCGTCTTCTCATGGAGCTTTGGCCGTCTTCTCATTTAGCACACCCAAGAAGTGTCCTTGGATTGCTCGGAGCATGCCGTCTTCCTTGACTTTCGAGGCGCTATAAGTTACACTTTAACTAATTCTGATCGGACCTTTTAACTACCATATTAAAGAGCGTAGCAAATACTATCACGATACTCCGCCAGCCTTCTGGACGAGCGACATCGAGAGAATCTGCCACGCAAGCATGGTTCGGTGCGTGAGTTCAGCGAGATCTTGATTTCTCCGCCACTGTAGACCACCCTAATGAACATGAACTCCGCCCGAACTAGGTAATTGATGGGGTTCAGGTTAGGTGACCGCTTAGATGTTTTGTCTTCTTCAGGAACTCGAGGCCCTTTCATTTAAGTAGGCGAGAGTTTCTCCAACGCCCTTCAATTTCATGTGGTGTCACCCAATCCTGTAGCACTACAAAGCTTCCAAGAAGGTACGGGCGACGACATGTGGGGAGGATATTTTTCTCGAGTTGCTCGATGTAACCGCCAACGCTCACCTTCAGTCTGGGGTCCACGAAAAAAATAGGTCTTTGCATTCCAGGTACGTCCGGTCCATACCATCAGCCCGCGCCTTGGCGACTGTGGTGAAGATGATGTCATAGACCGTAGCGATGTTGTCGGAGCTACTCGATGTTGGGGGTCTTTCAGATTAAGAGCACAGGTCTCCAGGTAGCTATCCATGGGTGACTCCATACTAGAAGTTTCGTATCTGTTCGGAGGTGACATGAATTCTGGAGGTCTTCTCCAGTCAGGCTGCGCTGGAGATGACTTCATATTTTGGTGTACATGGAGGTGATGGGCGAGAGCCGGCCCCTGCTTATCGAGGAACATCTTGTGTATCTTCCACCATGGTACTCGTACCACGTCATCTGTCTGGGCTTCAAAAATTCGCTGGTATGTAACTCGGTCAAAGTGTTTTTATTGCCCTCCCCCTGTAGTAACGGAATCGCTGGAACACGATTACGGCTACACCATTCTTAGTGTTCGGTGCACTACAGGGAACGGCTTTGAAGCTACGACCAAGTTCTTTCGACTGACAACCAGACCATCCCGTCACCTGTACTGCACAGAGATCGATCGTTCTGCGCTCTAGTGCTTCTGCCAGCTCGTATGAGCGCCCCGTCAACGTCCCGATATTTAGCCTTGCAAGAAATCTCAAAAATGTTGCCAGACTTGCGGACTAACCTGGTTGCCCCTCCCCAATGCCGTTCTTGCATCAAGGACCCTCCATACTTTCTACACTCGCCGGGCCGTACGAGTGCGCGTCAGCTCCCGCAGACGCCTAAGCATTATATCGAGATTCACGTCTCATAGTTAAAGATGGTGATGTGACATATGGTATTCGTAGGCCGGCCCGTCAGCAAGGCCTGTCACCTGCATTCGGATGTCCGCGATCGGCTCAGCTCGCAAAAGCGAGCAGTTCCCAGTGGCACCACGTGGAGGAGCAGACTTGACCACCGGAGAAATTACGGAGAATGGTTGTATTGATTTCGCGCGCGGGAAGATAATTCAAGCTTGCACCATGCGGCGAACTATAAACGCCTTCCATCTATAGTTCCTGATCGTTTGGTGAAGAGACAAAACTGTTGCTGAACTTCAAGCCAACTGCTCTGAAATATTCCTGAGGTTATTTATGCTATTCTACCTTTTGAAGACACATGGTACGCTCAAACACATTCAGAGCGTATAAGACTATCAGCCCCCCAGCTGTCGATGTGTCGTGGTCCCCCCCCCGCCCAAAAATGCACGGGGTCAGAGTACGGGGCCGTGGGAAAGTTGTAATTCCTTGCTACACCGCCCTCACGTTTATGCTAACAGCATCCGCGCGGCGCAGTCGCGTGCAGCTCTCTTGCTTTTTTGCCAAGTCCTGTAATTGCGCTTTGGAATACAAGTACAACGCAATTTCTTTATGCGGATAAAATTTTAGGTGCTGCAAAATAAGAACCGAAGATGACGACAAGGGCTAGAACTCAAAAAGCAACTATGGTGCTTCTGCAATATCCTTTAGAGGCCGCGCATTCCCACAGAACATGACAATAAAAACGGACAACATGACAATAAAACATAACAATACAAGCAAAACGCAATTTCCTAACATTTGAGTTATTGCTCATGCTTCAAAGTCCGAATAGAAGGTGAAGAAGATGACAAAGGCTGGAAATGAACAACAACGAATGTAAAGATGAAATAACAAAATAGAAAAAAAAACTAAGGAAACGTAATAAATTAAAATTGCGTGTGCATTTCTGCGATCCGGCTCGAATCCAGCACTAATGCTATAGAAATTCTTCAAACTAACGAGTTGGACGCTTAGGCCGTTTTTGTTTTGATGTTTTGTGGGAATGCGCGACCTCTGAGGGATATTGCAGAAGCACCACAGTTGCTCTTGAGTTCTAGCCCTCGTCATCATCTTCAGTTCTTATTTTGCAGAACCTAAAATGTTATCCGCATAAAGGATTTGCGTTGTACTTGTATTCCAAAGCGCAATTACAGGACTTGGCAAAAAGCCGAGAGAGCTGCACGCGTCCGCGCCGCGCGAACAGTGTTAGTAAAAACGTGAGTTTGCAAAAACGGGCGGCGTAGCAAGGAGTTACGACTTTCCCACGGTCCCGATCTCTGACGCCATACAGTTTTGGGCGGGGGGACCACGACACATCGACAGCTGGGGGCTGATAGTCTCATACACCCTCAATGTGCTTGAGCGTACCATATGCCTTTAAGGAGAATATTCTTGCGTTAAGCATTTTGCCAAGGGAGAATGCCATCTTGGCGCTCTTTTTAGCCTTGGAAAATTGTCCAGATTTTCTGAACAGTTGTTACTGTATCAGTTCTGGCACCAGCGTTTTGCCAAATTCAGTGTGAGCCTACAATATTGTGGGTTGTCAAGTGCCCTTCCCATAAGCAATATGGAGTGCCCTTCCCATAACCAATATGGAAGTGGGGCCTTTGGTTAGCGTGCCACCTAGCAATAACACATTGTGGCCCAATCTGCGCTACCGCCGAAATGTCATTCCTCATCTAGCAACCTTTAAAAACCCCTATAGACGGGGTCAATATTTTTCTTATTATTTTGATGTTTTGATGGTAAACTGCCGAAGTTCTCTGAAGGGCAGCCAAGTAGAAGTGGTATTATTTGTGAGATAGTCTTCTTTCCAGATGTGAGGAAAATTCAGCAGACAAGTCGCCATCCTGGGACTCAGGACGCTCTATTTTCCATTCACTTCATACAGGTAAGCTTCTCTCTATTTCGCCGTGTAATTTGAGTAGGACTGGCCACAAAACTTTGGACGTTATTCCTTTCACTGTCGTCGACTACACTTGCCGCTTCAATCCTGTTTGTATTACATTTTCACTTTGAATCGGACTTTTCAAACCAAATCGGACACTTTTCAAACCGAATAGGACACTTTTCAAACAAAATAGGACACTTTTCGAAATCAAATCGGACACTTTTCAAATCAGATCGGACACACCCCTTACAATGAACAGTGGAGAACTAGACCACACTAGGCCGCAAGCCCCGCACCTACACCCCCATCCATTTCTTAGCGCCGCCGTGGTTTTCCAAATGTTTTATGAATTCTGCTTCTCCAACTATTTTCACTTTTGCTGCTTGACACACACATTTAACTGAATAGTTTTGCTACCGACACTGTATGACTCCGCCCACTTCACATGACGAAAGTTCTGAACTTTTTTCGACACTAGCACACTGAGCCCCGCCCATCTGACCACGCCCACTTTCGTTTTTCGCGGAATTTTGTTTTTTCTTCTTTTAGGCTGTGACAAGCGGCCCGCCGATTAATGGAATCTCCGCCCACTTTGTAGAAGCCCCGCCCACTTTTCAGAAATGATGCAGATCGGCGAGCTAGCTACCGTACCAGCGGGTTATGACTCCCGTCACACAGAATGAAAAAAAGGAAACTTTGTTCCGGGTGACGGGAGACGTTGATCTCGAATCTGCCTTTGAAATTTGCAGAACGTTTCTCCGAACGGAGTTATGGAGCTTTTTCCACCGCGCTTACCACGCAACAGGTCGTGGTGTCGGGTCCCTACTGAGCTTAACTTTTTTGCTTCTTGTGCAAACGTGGCAAAAAGTGGTTGTAGCGTCACTGCTACATTAGCGCTCTCCTTGACTTGCCTGAAAAACAGTTTGTGTTCGCTTACTGGCGCGCTTAGTACCTTATGATCTAGGAGATGTACAGGTGCCTCCTGGCACCTGTACATCTCCTAGATCACAGACGCGCAGTACAGGCGTTTTCGCGCTGAGCGAGTGCCATATTCGTGTTTATGAGGGCGAACAACGCCTAGGTAGAGGTTTCTAGCCAAATCTACCATTTTGACCTGACTTCGAAAAGTGAAGCATCCATGGGCTAGTTCACTTGATGTTCATACCTATCCAGCTGCAGATTCATTCTCCTACACAAAGCCTCGTCTTCTTACGCATTCATGTTGTTACTGCTCCAGTTTTCCTGGTATCTAAAAGCAAATTCTGTCCAAAGACAAGCAATCGATAAGAGATTGGCCCTGGAACTATTGGTGACTATCCTCCGATCAACCACTAACGCACTTTTCAAAGTTGTGTCAAAACCTCACATCTGGCTAGAAACCTGTCCCCAAGGGTAGTTTTGCACTCTGAACACGAATATGGCACCCATTTGGCGTTTGAGTGTTTTCTAGACTTAAAAGAGACATTCCCCACAAAATGCAAAACAATTTTGCCTCCAGAAATCCGAACCCTTCATAGCATACCGCGAAGCAAGACCGTTGTCACTACGCCATACCGCCGTTCATCGCAACGGTGCTTCCCGGCTATTCATGCGAATTGGGCGGCAACCGTGCTCGACTCCGTTTCCTTCATTTTAATTCTAACAAACCTTCATAATTCCGTTCAGAGAGTCGTTCTGCAAATTTCAAAGGAGACTCGAGATCAGCGTCCAAAACCACGTCTAGTGAGCTACATCTCATTACAAATGGCAATTTCGACCTGGCGACCTTCCCTAGTTAGACCAGGCTAGGGGGAGATGCAGAGAGGCTGTGAATTGCTCTTCGCCGTCCTTCAATATGCTATCGTCATGATCTTTGTGTACGCATGATGCTGTGAAAAGGGCGTGGCTTAAGACATCCGAGGTGCGGCATTGCTGCTGGCATGCCAGTGCTCCTAGCTAGTTTACTCGGTACAGCACTTTTCCGTGAAATCAATGAGGTTATGGTAGCCTGTGCCCCATAGTGTTTCTTTCACGCCCCTATCTTGAAATATCGACGACTGGTAAACTGCGTATTCCTTCATCGAATTTCGAAAATTATTGGATTACTATAACCAATGTGGGCCAGCTTCAGTACTGACAGGCAGGGTACCGTAACCCAAGGTGGCGCCCGATTAATTGTGTGTCCGCTATGGACGCACTTATAACGCTGTATCTTACACTAGTACACTACTAGAATTGTGCTTGTATACTCACTGCACTGAGCTGGATGTTTGGAAACTTCGTGCGCAGTTTGCGAATGTTTTCTTTAGCCTCGAAAAAGCGTAACGTACATCCAACAGATTACGTATACAACGCTGGTACGTCCAGCTATTCACAACTGAGCACTAGTTACACTGATATGGGGAGCACTACTTTTACTTTCTCCAGGTTAAAAACTTTTTTTACATATGCTCTTCTGAATTCATTACATGAAATTTTGTTCCGCACTTCATTGAAGGAGCGAGAAACTCCATTACTAACATAACACCTTCCCTGACGATACCACTTGGCGTCAGTTTGGCGCAGCACGTCCCACTAAGTTCTCCAAACTTAGATTGGAAGAGTAAGTAAAGGTCCTGAATGTTACTTATTAGGGCATACACCAAACTTTAATGTCAGTATCTCGATGGGCAGCACACATACGTAGGCGACGTCTTCGATAGGAAGTTTCTGCCATTATCTGTTCGACACGTTCCGGATCGACGCCTATTTTGCGTGCACGTGTGACCGCGGCCAAATGCCAGGCTGGCGTGACACACATGATGTGTCACGCAGCCACACGGGGCAGGTTTGAGCCGCGATTTTTTCTTACTAATCATTTCACTCTGAAAATTTATATCTGGGGTTATTTCACATCCCAGCCACGACTATGACTCATTTCTACCGCCACCGCTGGCGCCACTTGGTGCCACCGGGCGCCAATTTGGCGGCACGATCGTTTTCAGCAAAATTGAGCTAACTTTGCATTTGGGGATATTCAGGAATGGCGATCACGAATGTGACATTCATTTTTGGCGCCGGCGCCATTTGGCGCCAACACGCGCGAAAAGCGCCAGCTTCGAGTACGAATGTCACTTTTGCAATCAGAATCCTTGATCACCCCTCAGATGCATGCTTTTTGAAAAATTTGCATATAAGGGCTGGGCGCCAAACTAGCGCCCAGTGGCGTCAGATTGAGCGAACGCTATAAGAGCATGTCATAATCACGATCGAGACACCGAATGGCCTCAGTAGATCATTCTATCAGCAAATTCTGTGTGTGATGCATTTCTAGAGCATGATGGATTTACGAATTGGCTACTGCTTTAGAAAAGTGTTTTACAATAAACTACCGAAGCTCTTCATGGCCTAACCATGAAAAAAAATGCAGGAATTTTTTTGCAAAAACCTGTGCAGGAATTCGTATTCCTACAGGGATATAAAACAACTCAAAGAATTTGCGCAACCTTCAAAATACAGGGGAATTTTAGCTTCTGAAGATCGTGACATACCATGTTTGTCAAACGGCCATAGGGAGCAGACAACGTGTGACACACCGTGTGTGTCACGCGGTAGGGAATGTGTTGATATCTCCGCGTTCCCAACAGCGGAATAATGATCAGACAGTGCGTTGCCAACTTTTACTCCTTTGTTTCTACAGTGAATGTTTATGCCACTTCAGACTCCGTTATTTGTCACCAAGGTTTATATGAAAAAGCAACTTTTAGAAGTCACCAAGTTAAACGTGTGAGTGCTGTAAGGCTACGGCATAAGCCGTTGAGCTGAGAGGGTGAAATAGGCCCTGGTGGCGTAACGGATAGCGCACTCGCCCGGACGTGAGGTCCGGCTTCGACTCCCGCCTGGGGCACGACTTTTGCCCATAACTCAAGCATTCTTAGTGAGCAACTTTTAGGTTGAACGGGTCTTACGTTATTTAGCGCGGGGGCCACATATAGCATGTGGTCCAACCTAATATAATATATAATATATATTATATATATCTTATATATCATAAATATATATATATATATATATGATATATATATATATATATAATAAAATATATATTATATATAATATATATATATATATTATACAGGGGGTGGCTCAAGAAAAAAGAAAGTCGACTTGACCAAGTCACATATCAACAAAGTTTTCGGCAGCCAGACAGGGGAGAGTGGGATATGGATGTACGAAATAGTGGAAGAGTACAGGTCCGGGCCCAAGATCTTGCCTCTTATAAGCTAGAGCAGTGGGCTGGCGCGCCGATGCGCTTCATGTACGCTCAAAATATGAAGTACATCTCCAGTCGCGGCCTGACTGGAGAATCACGGCTTTGGAATGCAGCGTCGTCTCGCTAATACAGCTGCGAAACTTTTTTTGTGTGAATTCGTCATCCCAGATTAGCTGACCTGGAGGTCAGTTACTTGTTGATCTGCAATGTAGCCTCCGACATCGAGCAGCTGTCCTTGCTACTTTCGCCTACGCGTTCTAGGAGCATGCATCTCACGGGAGCCGGTGTTCGCCGAGGCGCGAGTTTGAGGATGGTAGATGGACGTGGGTTACCTGGAAAGGGGAAGACCCGGTATTTTCTTTGTAGACTCCCGACGAAGGTGAGCGCTGGCGGTTACATGCAAAGTAAGCTCGAGAGAATATCCATCCGCTACATGTGGCGCCCGTACTCTTCTTGGAGACGCTTGTGGCTGCTTAGCAGGTTTGGGTGCGCACCACATGGAGATCAAAGGGTTTTGGGAAAACTCCGCTTACTTCGAGATGGAAGGGTGTTTCGTATCCGAAAAAGAAGTAATATTGAAGTATGTCCGGCCTGACTGAACGCCACTCTAATTAGCGCTAGTCGGCGGACCTCAAAGAGGGTGGTTACGGGTGGCCGGAGAAAATGCGACTACTTGCGCTGATCTGCGGTAGCAATGGCGG